CTCCTTTGGTCCAATCACAGATTGCCACTTCAAATTTACCCCGTAAAAGGCCCGTAACACTCCGTTGATGTAGCATTGCTCCTCCTCACCAGAGCCAACGGAGGATCCTGGCTAAGCATTGTCCTCGTAGTCCGTGCTAAGCATTGCAAGAACAGCGATCCTGGCGAGGGCCGCCGGTTATGCAGGCGGATCGTGCCTTGACAGTCCTGTCATGATCACAATCTCAACAGTTGCTGTCGAAGCAGATTTTGAAGCAAGAGTAGGCATATTTTGATGCAGCAAGATCAAGTTGTTGCAGCTTGGATTTGAGTTTGGAGTCTCAAGGAAACCGCTCTCAAGGAATAAAAACAACTGCACATCAGAGTTCAGAACGGTTTTTTTGGAGACCTGAAAGAAGTTCAGAAAGATCTTGGAGACCGTGATCTTATGTTTCACCATGGCAGAAAAATGCAGCAGAGCTAGCGATGGGAGAAGCTTCACCGTGTGCATTACCCATGCAACAGTAGCAGGGAATTGTCTTTTGGTTTGCAAGGATAGACGGCAAATGACAATGAGATCAACAACGTAATAAACCGCCTTGTTCTCTGAAATGTACTAATGGATAACCTTTACAGAGGATCTTGCTGATGATAGGATATGTTGGGGGTAGTGAATTGACAGTCTAAATTGGTTTGTCAGGTGACATACCAACCATCGGTTGCTGATTCAACATGTATGTTCCATGCTAACTGACGCACGCGATGATTACCCAGTGAGTTTTTGCAGCAGGTCTCCCTCATCATATTTTCACAAGCACAGAGAGAATTTTGATCAACCTTAAAATTGACCAATCAGATCCAGCGATTCCAAGCAATGCCTTGAAATTGGACCTTAAAATGGACACACTTTTCCATCAGGTTAGTTGGACAAATTTTGTATGCGTTGCTTCGATTTGGTGTCCATTTAGACCTTGTAAGTTCCATCTCATGGATTATATGACCTTGCAAAGATTGTACTTTATGCTGTGCAGACCCAGTTAGATGTTTATTTTCTACTTGAAATTGCACAAGTTGGTGGTTTCTCTTCCAACGATATCACAACCTCTGTGATGAACAGGTAACGCTAGTTTAGAGTTTTCTTCACTTAAGCACTCTGACGCCAAATTATAAATTATTTATTTATGTTTAATAATTCGAATGAAAAGCTAACATGATATGAGAAAAGCCAGACCAATTTGTCAAATAGCTGCACTATGCTGCAACATTTTTCACATACTTGACAATCAGATTACAGTATCTCAAACCAGAAAAATCTTCTAACCAATAACTGTCGCAAACATGGTTATGTGGTTCACCGTCCAAAAGTTACTCAAATGGTTTGCACAAATTCAGGCCAACAATTTTTCATTGATACATATCTGAAACTGATTACAGTATGACTTGGTAGTCGGTACATCAAGGACTTGATAGTCGGTACATGGAGATCGCGATGGTATGTTTCACCATCCAGCACTCGGCAGAAAAATGCAGCAGAAGCAGGGGATTGTCTTTTGGTGAACACGGATAAAAGACTAATGACAATGAGACCAACAACAGGATAAACCACCTTGTTCTCTGAAATGTATAGATAAAAAATGGACTACTGGATAACCGTTACAGAGGATCTTGCTTATGATAGGATATGTTGGGGGAGTGAATTGACAATCCAAATTGGTTTGCCATGTTCCATGCTAACTATACCCAATGAGTTTTTGCAGCAGGTATACCTCTCATCATATTTTCACAAGTACAGAGATGATTTTGAGCAACCCTAAAATTTACCAACCAGATCCAGTGATCCCAAGCAATGGCCGGGTTAATTAGCTGGACCTTAATATGGACACACTTGTCTAATTTCTTTTCAGTCTAATGAATTGGCAGCATTCCTGCCAATTTCTTTGAAAAAAAGTAGCAATAACATTACTCTGTTTTCAAAGTTTCTGAAGACACTGCAATCACCAAAATAACTGAGAAAATGTATGCACAGTTCTTTGCATCATCCTTGCTTGCACAGAGAAACCTATCTAAACAAGATATGGTTGCCATTTGAGCACAACAAAATCATCAAACTGTAACCAACTAGAAAAGAAATAAGAGACGAGTTATTTGCAGTCTCCCATGGGCGTACTGACCATTAGAGATCCACTAGAGGTTCAGGGTTACATATGACAAACTTGATGAAAACAATATCCACAAAAGTTGATGAAAACAGCATACTTAGAGTTTGACAGATGAAAACAGAAGTTGTAGTCACTTGAGATCTTAGTTCTTAGATCCACACAAAAAATCCACTCCTGGTACCTTGGGGGGTCAAAAGCTAACATGATCTGAGAAAAGCCAAATCTATTTGTCAAAACTGTCCCAAACATGGAGACATGGTTATGTGCTTCACCACTCAAACGAAGTATTGTGAAACCAGACATGAATCGATTGGATCCGTGAGTCAGCACACACTTTTCTGACGAGAGCAGAGCAGCGGAATGTTTTAATAAGCCATAGAAGCATACGAAAAAAACATATATACAGAAAGTTACTCAAATGCTTTGCATAGATTCAGGCCAACAATTTTTCATTCATATCTGATATTGAAAACAATATGACTCAGTGAGCAGCAGAATGCTTTAAGAAGCCACAGAAGCATACAAGAATAAATAGATACGAAAAGATTACTCAAATGCTCTGCAAAATTCAGGCCAACAATTTTCTCATTCATATCCAAAATTGGTTACAGTATGACTTGATAGTCGGTACATCAAGGACTTGCTGAGCTCAAAGCTTCACCCACACATACACACAAGAGTTCACTAACCAATGGTACTCTTCGGAAACTGCAACTTTAACTCACCAAGACGCCAATGCCTAAGAATCCAAGTCAGCCAAGATTAATTTTACAGGAGAGTCAGCATAGTCTCCAGACGCTAGGCAGCTCACATGATTACTGTGTGTATCGACAAGTTCAATTCTACTCCTTTTTCCTGCTACAAGCCGGGTAGCAAACGGGCGTTTTGCATTTTGCGGCGAGTGCGTTTTACGCTCTGTCTCGTGCCGGAATTGCAGTACATGAGTTTCCAATTTTTTTGGCTCATCTGCTTCACTTTGATTTATTGAAAATGCCCTTTATTTACTTAAACCCTTAACTTAGGACCAGGTGTGGATGTAGTGTAACTATGCCGCACACATCTTAACAAGGTTTTTGCTGCCTAGCTAGATGGAGACTCTGCCGACACCCTTGTAAAATTACTAATGACTGAAAGGGATTCAAAGAACACTAGTAATCTTGGTAAGCAAGTGCAGAACCTAGAGATGCAAAGATTAAATGAAACTCATGTGTGAATGGTTTAGGAAGGTAAAAGACTAGCAAGGGCGTAATACCACTGGACGCAGCCAAGCAATTGGTTGCTTCATTGGTGCTGCAGCGGTGACACGGTTTTGCTTCGGAACCTTGCAGCTGAGCTCCCCCATCCCCCTTCTTGCGCGTAGAGTTGAAGCTGGAGTCGCCTTCTTCACACTGGGCACAGCAGCAGTGACTGGCAATGGTGTTGAGCCGACGAAAGAGCGAGCCTTGGAAGCGACGGGACGAGAGACCTTCTTCACGGGCGCAACAGCAGTGGCAGTCAGGCAGAGTGGAGCCTTGGAAGATGGGCGCTTGCGGTGGTGGCAAGCGGACTCCTCGTCTTCAGCCATCTGGCGTCCACGGGCACGGATCGCGCACCGGACATCCACGGGGTCAGCACCAGCAGCAGCCGGCAAGGTGGTGGCAGGCCCTGGGCGCGCGGCGGAGGCATCGAAGGAGCCGGGCATCGCCGGCGCATGGCTGCGTTCTCCGTGGTTGACACACCAGACACGGATGGGATCAGCACGGGCCGCCTTGGCAGGAGCAGCGACATCAGATGTGGCCGTGGCGGCGTAGCGATGGGGACGCCCTCCATGGTCGACGCCGTAGCGGCGGAGTTCTTGGGCGGCTGCGGCAGCCTCCTTGGCGAGGCCGTCTTCCTCGAGACGGCGCTGGAAGTCGCCGTCCCAGCGGGCGAGGGACTCCCGGGACTCACCGGTTGCCTTGGCAAGGCTGTGCTTGGTCCAGTACTGGAGCACCCTCTCGAGGACGCGCGAGGGCACCCGCATCTCCAGCGGGCGGGCTTGGGCGGTGGTGGGGCGATAGTCCCACGCCGGAGCGACGAGCACCTTGCCGTCGGAGCTACGGAGCTGGAGCACCTTCGCCGCCACGGATGGCGTCTTGGATTGGATCTGGGGATCGGGGAGGGAGGCGAACGAATCAAGTTGGGGCAGCTGCTCCCACCGCGGCCGCCCTTTTATTTACCGGAGAGCTCCCAATCCTTGCCGGGCGCGGATTAGCAGCTGTCGCCGGCTGAACTGGAACTGAAATCGAACTCGGCTGCGGCAATCTTACGCGATGGCTCGTGACTTCCGGAGGGTTCACGGGGGGCAAGCCCTTGGCCGTGTACCCGCGCTGTCCCCGCGCTGGTCCGGGCAACGTACTGGTCGGCGCGCGGCCACGGCCATTCCATCAGCGGGCAGGCGCAGGAACCCGAGCTCCGCGGCGTCCTGGAGATCTTCTCCTGCTTCACTGGGGCATGGAGGAGCGGCTCAGCAAGTCAGCCTCGGCTTCTTGGCGCTCTGCTGGTCGCCCCTCTCCATCGCCGCCTGCGAACCAGCTGCAACCTGCATCTTCACCCCTGTCTCTCTCCGGTGTCCGGTGTCTCTGAAATTGCAACTGGTTGAGTGAGCGGCACACGGTAAAAGAAGCAACTGGTCTCCTACTTCACAATCTAAAAAATGCACCGGGGGTACTTGAACTTGAGAAGAAAGCACGCTTTGGTCACTGTACTTCAAAATACGACCAATACGGTCACTCAATACGCCTACACGTGATTATACGGTCACTGTTCACCGCACGCCACTCGTCGCCGCTCCATTTGACCACTTGTTGACCAATCCGAGGCGACAGCTAGCGTTTGCGGGGGTTCTCTGGGCTTTTTACAAGGAAACCCTTGGCTGGCTCTGTAATTCCTCCAGCTCCTTGTCCATTCGGCTTCGATCATAACGAAAGGGGAGGAGGTGAAAGGGGAGGAGGGAAGGGCGATCGTCGGCGGCACCGCACCACCACCACCGGAGTCACCGCACAAGGGCGAGAGCCGCCGCGCAGGCGCGGCGCATCTCATTGCTGGAGCTGTTTCGTCGCGATGTCGCCTGTTCGTCGCCCCGATGGCGCTCCACCGCCCAACTACAGTAAGCCCTCACATCGCCCCGCCATGGTTCTTGTGTTGTAAGCTACAGGGTCGAAATTTAGAGGTGGGCATTGTGAATGGTGTGTCTGTTAGTCAGATATGCCCATCTGTATTTTGGAGAGATTTGCCTAGGGTTTTCGACCATGATTTGGGGGTTTCTGCCTATAGGGTTTTGGGTTTGGAGAAGGTGGTTGTTTGTAGGTTATTTGGTGCTGAAAGGTGCTATATTTTGGTGCATGTTGAAGATGTTGGTTGTATAGGTGAATTACATACTGAAAGTTGGTATCTTGCATCTATTTCTTGCATTATGTGAAACATAAATTCTGAAACTCTGTTGTGCTCTGTTGTGCTCTATTTTCATGTATGCAGACAAGCGCAGCAGGACGTTTTCAGTTCAGTTTAATGATGAAGTAGATGCAGATACTTGGTCTCCAATCATGGTTGAAAACCTAGTTGAAGAGATAGGATGGGAGATGGCAGGCAGGTTGACGGTATATTACTGCATTCCCATGTTGTCAATCAATAGGAAAGGGTTGAGAGAAATCAGAGGAGATAGTGACACAGATCAGATGCTCACATTTGTGTCAATTGGGCATTACTCATTTAGTTTGTACCTTGACCACGAGGACAGTTTGAATGCTAATCTGACAGAAGATGATGTGGTCAATTTCCCAATAAGGCAGCTGTTGGGGAACGTAGTAATTTCAAAAATTTCCTACGTACACGCAAGATCATGGTGATGCATAGCAACGAGAGGGGAGAGTGTGTCCACGTACCCTCGTAGACCGAAAGCGGAAGCGTTAGCACAACGCGGTTGATGTAGTCGTACGTCTTCATGATCCGACCGATCAAGTACCGAATGCACGACACCTCTGAGTTATGCACACGTTCAACTCGACGACGTCCCTCGAACTCCGATCCAGCCGAGTGTTGAGGAAGAGTTTCGTCAGCACGACGGCGTGGTGACGATGATGATGTTCTACCGACGCAGGGCTTCGCCTAAGCACTGCTACGATATGATCGAGGTGGATTATGGTGGAGGGGGGCACCGCACACGGCTAAGAGATCAAGAGATCAATTGTTATCTCTATGGGGTGCCCCCTGACCACGTATATAAAGGAGTGGAGGAGGGGAGGGGCCGGACCTCTCTATGGCGCGCCCTAGGGGAGTCCTACTCCCACCGGGAGTAGGATTCCCCTTTTCCTAGTAGAACTAGGAGCCCTTCCAAGTAGTAGGAGTAGGAGGGAAGGGAAGGGAAGGGAAAAGGAGAAGGAAGGAAGGGGACGCCCCCCTCCCTAGTCCAATTCGGACCAGCCCATGGGGAGGGGTGTGGCCTCCCTTTGAGGCCTTTCTCTCCGTTCCCGTATGGCCCATTAAGGCCCAATACAAATTCCCGTAACTTCCTAGTACTCCCGAAAATACCCGAATCACTCGAAACCTTTTCGATGTCCAAATATAGTCGTCCAATATATCAATCTTTACGTCTCGACCATTTCGAGACTCCTTGTCATGTCCCCGATCTCATCCGGGACTCCAAACTCCTTCGGTACATCAAAACACATAAACTCATAATATAACCGTCATCGAACTTTAAGCGTGCGGACCCTACGTGTTCGAGAACTATGTAGACATGACTGAGACACTCTCCTGTCAATAACCAATAGCGGAACCTGGATGCTCATATTGGCTCCTACATATTCTACGAAGATCTTTATCGGTCAAACCGCATAACAACATACGTTGTTCCCTTTGTCATCGGTATGTTACTTGCCCGAGATTCGATCGTCGATATCTCAATACCTAGTTCAATCTCGTTACCAACAAGTCTCTTTACTCATTCCGTAACACATCATCCCGCAACTAACTCATTAGTTGCAATGCTTGCAAGGCTTATAGTGATGTGCATTACCGAGTGGGCCCAGAGATACCTCTCCGACAATCAGAGTGACAAATCCTAATCTCGAAATACGCCAACCCAACAAGTACCTTCGGAGACACCTGTAGAGCACCTTTATAATCACCCAGTTACGTTGTGACGTTTGGTAGCACACAAAGTGTTCCTCTGGTAAACGGGAGTTGCATAATCTCATAGTCATAGGAACATGTATAAGTCATGAAGAAAGCAATAGCAACAAACTAAACGATCAAGTGCTATGCTAACGGAATGGGTCAAGTCAATCACATCATTCTCTAATGATGTGACCCCGTTAATCAAATGACGACTCATGTCTATGGCTAGGAAACTTAACCATCTTTGATTCAACGAGCTAGTCAAGTAGAGGCATACTAGTGACATACTGTTTGTCTATGTATTCACACATGCATTATGTTTCTGGTTAATACAATTCTAGCATGAATAATAAACATTTATCATGATATAAGGAAATAAATAATAACTTTATTATTGCCTCTAGGGCATATTTCCTTCAGTCTCCCACTTGCACTAGAGTCAATAATCTAGTTCACATCGCCATGTGATTTAACATCAATAGTTCACATCGTCATGTTGGGGAACGTTGCAGAAAATTAAAATTTTTCCTACGGTTTCACCAAGATCCATCTATGAGTTCATCTAAGCAACGAGTCAACGGGAAGAGTTTGCATCTACATACCACTTGTAGATCGAGTGCGGAAGCGTTCAAGGGGATGGTGATGATGGAGTCGTACTCGACGTGATTCGGATCACCGATGACCAAGTGCTGAACGGACAGCACCTCCGCGTTCAACACACGTACTGGACGGACGACGTCTCCTCCGTCTTGATCCAGCAAGGAGGAAGGAGAGGTTGAGGAAGGCAGCTCCAACGGCAGCACGACGGCGTGGTGTAGTTGGTGCAGCAGTACTCCGACAGAGCTTCGCCAAGCACGTATGGAGGAGGAGAGGTGTTGGGGAGGGGAGGGGCTGCGCCTTAAGTTGTGTCCAGCAGCCCTCCCCTCACCCCTCTATATATAGGAGGAGAGGGGCAAGGGGGCCGGCCCTCTAGGGGAAACCCTAGAGGGGGGCGGCGGCTAAAGGGTGGGGGGCTTGCCCCCCAAGCAAGGGGGGTGCGCCCCCTTTAGGGTTTCCCCCCCAACCCTAGGTGCATGGGCCCAAGGGGGGGGGCGCCAAGCCCACTAGGGGCTGGCTGCTATCCCTACGCAGCCCAAGTGGCCCCCCGGGAGGGGTGGTCCCTCCCGGTGAACCCCCGGAACCTCTCCGGTGGTCCCGGTACAATACCGGTATGACCCCGAAACTTTCCGGTGTCCGTTTAACAACTTCCCATATATAAAACTTTACCTCCGGACCATTCGGGAACTCCTCGTGACGTCCGGGATCTCATCCGGGACTCCGAACAACATT